ACCAGATCTCAACCCAATAGAGCATCTTTGGGATGTGGTGGAACGGGAGCTTCGTTCCTTCCAACATTTCTAAAGAATGCTTTCAGCACCTTGTTGAATCAATGCCACGTAAAATTAAGGCAGTTCTGAAGGCGAAAGGGGGTCAAACATCGTATTAGTATGGTGTTCCTAATAATCCTTTAGGTGAGTGTAGTTTTGGGTTTTATTTACTTACTTCCAGAAGGTTCACACAACCAGGGTCCAGTCGTGCTGCTATACTGACCAAGATCCAAAAATCTGAACACACCTGTTTAACGTTCTGGCCAGATACTTGGTTCCATTTCTGCTGGCGAGAGAAGGATACTTCTTCTGCAGGAATGCATATTCATCCCGGATGGCATCTGCCACAGTTTTCTTTGTATTAATGTCCAGCTGACTCCTACATGGAACAGCATTGAGTACAACACAAACAAAATGAAAATATTATCACAAGTAAGCATGTTCTTTAAAACCTAAACAGTAGAGAGCACATCCCATAACTAGGAAAATGTCCTGTATATACAGGATATTGCACACTGATAATAAACACAGTAATAAAATATCAAGAGAATAAAATTGTCACCAAGCCCTTGAGAAAGCCAAGCAGATCTGAGAATGTGTATAAAACTCACTGGCTCTGTGTTAGAGGAAGAGCAGGGAGAGGAAGTTAGAGTGTTTGCCTGGAGCGAAAGCAGCACCACGGACAGCAACCTGTCACTGGCAAAGCAGCACCTGCAGGCACTGCACTGAAAACCTGCACTGGCAAAGCAGCGCCTGCCAGGCACTGCACTGAAAACCTGCACTGGCAAAGCAGCGCCTGCCAGGCACTGCACTGAAAACCTGCACTGGCAAAGCAGTGCCTGCCTGGCACTGCACTGAAAACCATCTATAATACACTTTGAGATACAGCATTAACATATGATTAAATATAACTTTTTACTAGAGATGCACCGATACCGATATTTGGATCGGTATCGGCGCCGATCCAGACCTATTTGACGGATCGGGTATCGGCCATGCGTGACTGATCCACATCCTATACTTACTTATTTAGTTTTTAGCAATCAATCGCACGGCAGCTCTTTCCCATTTTACATGTGTTTTTTTGCGGCATTCAAATCGAACGCTATCGCTGCCCCTCAGTCTTTTTTTGCTACTCAGTGGGTGTGAGTACAGTGACTTCCGCCTGCTGTGACGTCATGCGCATACCCTTCGCAGTACGAGGAGCGTAAGATAAGACGTGACGATCTGGGAGTATTATACGCTTTTAACAGAAACCAGTAGCACAGCGATTTGCAATCTATGTAAAATAAAGTTTTGAGGTGGGAATAGTGTTTAATGGACAATCCCATTTAACAAAGCGCACTATGAGACAAAACAAAGCAATGGATGATTTGGGAGTCGCTAACTTAATTGGACTGTTTTTCAAACTCGCTGCAGCTTGTGATACAAGAGGGGCTGCCATCGCAACAAAAGTGTAACTGCGCTGACGTCAATGGGAGAAAAACTGTGTTAAAATTTTAAGCATTCGCCACTTGTGTACTTGCTTTGAAGATATTCATATTGAACTGCAAATGCCAACAAACGAGGTGGAACAGTACGTTATGTATGTCTGTAGTAGCCTAATTAATTTTTTTTTGTCATCCATTTTTTCCATCTGTATTTATATATTATTTTTTTAAGCTAGTAAAGTATAACAAAGTAAAAAGAGCTCTTGTATCAGAATCTGTATCGGTATCGGCAGTTGTGTGTATCGGAATCGGATCGGAACTGAAAAAATGTGGATCGCCCATCTCTACTTTTTACTGTGATCTTTCAATCAATACAAACAGTCTTGTGACAAAAATTAAAACATTTCAGAATTGAGACAAGCAAATGTCAAAGGTCAGAGTTCAAACGACAGCTGAGGTACCTGTTGACCACTCCGATGAGGCCCAGTTTGACGGGAATTACCCTCCCCATGAGCACATCCATGGCATCCGTACCAGCATCCATCAGGTCTAGCTTGGTGACAACTGCCAGTGTTCTCCGACCTGCCCAAGGCAACAGGACACAAGGTGCAATAGTCACGTCTGTTCCCTCCGTTCCAGTGACTCCCTAAGCAATGGGGAAGGATTTCATAACAGCTGGCTAACTGTTACCCAAGAGAATGCAAGTCATCGAGTAAATTTCAAAATGAAATGGGTGCAGAACAGGAACATCAAGCCTGTTTGGACCACGGGACAAAACAGACGGGGAATGACAAAAGGTTAACTAACACTAACTACTATACTATAAGGCTGTGTGTGGCTCAGTGGGCTAAGCCGTATGCCTGTAATCACAAGGTCGCCGGTTCAAGCCCAGCCTCAGCATGTCTGCGGGTCCTTGAGCAAGACCCTCAACCCCCAGCTCCCTGGGCGCCGCTACAGGTGGCTGCCCTTCGCAGACAACTTACTCTACAAAGAGCTACAGGTGGCTGCCCTTCACAGACAGCTTGCTCTACAAAGAGCAAGTTGAGGGAGGCGTAAAAAGAATTTCCCAACAGGGATTAATAAAAGTGTCAATTATTATTATAGAACAGGTTTCTCTGACAGTGAATTTCATTATGAAACCAACAGCACTGTAAACATTCCCGTTGACTCACTGAGGAGATGAGGCACGCAGATTACATTGTAAAAGGATCACATCGCTGTAATCAGCACCGGTTAGATCAGGGGAGCCCAACTCCAGTCCTGTGGGCCGGAGCCCTACACATTTTTGGGCTTCCCCTAATTTAACACACCTGATTCAACTCCTTGCACCAATTACCACACAACTCTTGAGCTGAATCGCTTGTGGTGGAACAGAGAAAGGACTAAGTTACACAGGGCTCCGGCCCCCCAGGACTGGAGTTGGGCACCCCTGGGATAGATGGTACTTCACTGGGAACTGGTTTTTACAAGTCTGTCAGGCAGGGGAAGGGCTCATACCATCAGGATCCACTTCCCGGGCCAGCTTGAGGGCTTCAGAGGTGGCCATGTCTGTGTTAGCAGCGGTGACAGCGAGGATGATGCAGTTGGGGTTGCTAATGTGTTTCAGGATCAAGTCTCGGATCTGGACCTCTATGTCCTTGGGTTGGTCTCCAACAGGAACCTGAGAGAGCAAAGGTGGCCAGTCACTCTTATGACTTTCCATTTACAACAAATTTCATTTATCAAGTTTTTAATTTAATTATCAATGTTAACAATAATAGTACCTTAGTAATCCCTGGAAGATCCACAAGTGTCAGGTTAACCACATGAGGAGAGAAGATCTTCAGATGAATGGGTTCATCACTAATGCCCTAACAAAACACAATGAAATCTTGAGCAAGAAATCAATTACAGAACCAATAAAACAAAACTGTATGCAAGAATAAAAGCAGATAGATGACTGTACTGGTCAATTTTTACTTATAATAAAGTAGGGATGCTCATTTTGACCGTTTAACCGTTAACCGAAATAATTAATTTTGACCGATTATTACTATCAGTTAAACGGTTTAAAATGTTTTTATATATATTTAATTATTAGTAGTATGAAGTTTTGTGGCATCTCAGCTGAAGATCGGTATTCACGTTCTAAATACGCTGGGTTTGAATCGGCAACCCTGTGATTACAGGCACACAGGCTTAGCCCACTGAGCTATGAACTTCGCTGCTGAAAGTATGAGCTTCGCTGCTGAAAGTGGCAACACTGGCGCAAAGCTTCAGCGGCAGAGACGNATCCGTGTGCTATATTGTAGCCGATCAGTGTAAACACTACCCAGACATGTGCTCTTGTTTATTTCGGTCACAATGGGCGTATTCACATGTTTCTTTACCCAATACTAACTGTCGGATTATCATGTTATTATCATGCGAATAGCGCGATTTGCAAATGGGTGGGCGATCAGAGCCGCTTCGAGACGCAGACGCTTAAGTCAGTCACTCTTGTTCTTTCAATTCGTATCACGAAGCTGTAAAAATATATTTAGTTTCTACCTACTGTATATATATTTGAAAAGTAGACCGTCCAAGGTTTCTGAGGGTGTTTTTAAAATATGTATATGACAAAAACTCGCAGTTATTTAAACGGTTTGGCGAAATTTCTGTCAGATCCCGCCGGCGGGACCGCCGACCCCAGAGGATTTTAATCAGACACTCCTCAGTTCTACTTTCATTCAATTCTAATTTAATATTCTAATCTAATCAGTTAACGGTTAATGTTCGGATAACGAACGGCGGTTGTCGGTTGGGAAAATTAATCGAAATGAGCATCCTTATAATAAAGCATAATGATACAGAGCCAGTTATTAGCTAAAATGTGGTAGCCAACCCAACACAACATGCTAGTTAGATGGAACAGGGTACAGGTCATTTAAACTTAGCTCATTTCTGTCAAGCTTGTTTTACAGCAAAACCAGACAATGAATTCCATTACCTTGTTAACACCCGATACTCTGTCAGTTTCACCTTCAATTTCTTGTCTGATTTCATCAAAGTCTGTGAAGATCTAAATATAAAAATGTCCATTTTTAGACTTATAAACAGTCAAACGAATATAGCTAACCAATTTTAAACTGACTTTACGACTTTTTGAAGGCATCATGAACATATGTGATTTCAAAGCCAAGAAATCCCATCACCGGTGGCTCTAGAGCCGTCTCTCTCAAGCCGGTCCTTGGGGACCCTCAGCGGTCCACATTTTCGCTCCCTCCCAATTCTCTGAGACCTGGGAGGGAGCAAAAACACGGCCTGTCTGGGGGTCCCCGAGGACTGGCTTGAGAAACACTGCTCTAGATGACACTCAGGGGAGGGGCATTGGGGTAGGGGAGTGGCCTGGGGGGACAGCAGTAAAATGAGGCAGGATGGGGGACATCCAAGAGGGAAAATGAAGGCTGTCACTGAAGAAAGACAAATAATCATCCTGACTCTATGAGTGACGTCACTCAGAAATGAATGAAAATCGAGGCCAGCTGTCCCATTGGCTTAGCGCTAACGCTACACTGTGCTGCATCATCACCAGCAAAGGCAGTACATGTGGGACACCAACAGCCCCACCCAGAGAGCACTCTTCTCTCACGGGGATAGCGTGTGATGTGACTCAGCAGCGGACCGGCAGCTTCACCACAGACAGCCACAGGGGCTGAGAAGTGCAAAGCGGAACTGAGCACAGTGAGAAACAGCACAAAGGCCTGACAGAAAGCAGGGGAATATTGCTGACCATGACAGAGAAACGTGGCAAAGAGACAGTGTATGCACAAGCGAGCTCCCCACCACGGCACAGGCGAGCTATCCCCCCTCCCCCACCTCCACAGCACAGGCGAGCTCATCCCCCCCTCCCCCACAGCACAGGCGAGCTCCTCCCCCTGCAGCACAGGCGAGCCCCTCCCCCGGCAGCACAGGCGAGCCCCTCCCCCGGCAGCACAGGCGAGCCCCTCCCCCGGCGGCACAGGCAAGCTCCCCCCCTGTGGCACCTACCCTGTTTTTGGTGTGTAAAAACTTGCCCCACTCTTCAACCTCTGTGCCTGCAGAAACAGATATCAGAAATGCCAATTACTGTCAAAAAACAGCAGCCTGAGATGCTGCAGGACAAATTCTCAGGTCAAGTACTCTGCTGGCTGGTGACATCACCACTCAGACGTAAGCGTTAGCAGACACACCCATCATGTGCCCTTACTGAGCTCACTGCAGCGGGACGAGGGCATCGTGATCTTTTCCTTTACCTCGAGATACATATGTATCCCGTGTAACTAATGGCAAAGGAATGCAAGGCGTGTGTGCAAAAGAAAAAAGACATCAAACAAATGATTTAGCATGATGTTTGGCGGAAGAAAAGCAATCAAGCACCCAATGGGCTCTATGAGAATCACAATCCTGTGCCTGTGAGCCGTCCACAGCTGCCCTCCCACAAAGAAGGTCTTTCTGCTGGAATAATGGCGCAGAGTAATTAGTGAACGTGAGGCAGGTTGGTGCGCCAGAGCCTGGGTGGAGGACAGTCTCCTGAGAGCTGCTCATTTAACAGGTTATACAGCTTAAACAATTAAACTGACCTAAGCCAGTACAAAAGGCGCAAAGTAATCCTGAAGCAGCACAAGCTGAAGACATGATGGGAACACAACAGAATAATGAAGGTGCTGAGGGCGGGCGGGCGGCACAGACAAACATATAAGAAACCAGAGGAAAAGGAGACCTCGATAGAGGCGGCCATTTTTCCCCGAGCTGGCATCTGCGTTCGAAGAGAGACGACAGAGAAAGTGTTAGTGGTAGCCACGGGTTAGTGGGAGCTTAACTTACACAAAAATGTTCTGAGGACAAAACAAAAAATGATTGGTTTAGAGATATAACCAATCAGATTGTAGAGGTGGGTACTAGAGGAGACAGGATCAAGACGTCTGACTGGTTAATCCCACCTCTAATTGCTTGGACCCAAGACACACAGAGAATCGGGAACATCAACCAAATTCTCACTGGCCACAAACAAGAGAATGAAAACAAGGACTGGACCGGACTGGACCCCTGCAGAGGTATCTGGGGACATACGGCAAAGGCATTACAGCACAGTACCATTCTCGTCCGTCTTCCTGCGGTCTTCGGGGTCCACGTGGACGAGCTGCAGGATGAGAGGCCGGCGAGTGACGATGCCGGTGCCTCGTGGGAGCAGGTCCCGGCCCACCAGGCTCTCCAGAACCGAGCTTTTCCCGCTGCTCTGGGGACAGATGATGGTTACAGTCACTCACATGGTCAGATACACACACGCACATTATAACAAGGTACAAAATATACCAGCACATATTACTTCATTGAAGAAAGAATTAACTTGGCTTTGTCCTTCACTCCTCCCACTAATGGAAGCCCATTCATGTAATCAAAATAAGAATCTATGAGGCATGGTGGCTTAGTGGGTGGCACTGTCACCTCACGTCTCCAGGTGTTACAGCTTTGAATCCTGCCCTTGCTTTGCATGCCTTTCCTCCCTGCAGACTAATATCTCTAAACAAGCTCTGCTACAGGGTTGGTCGCAGTTCACAAGCCAGTAAACACTGGCGTGCAAAAGAACACAGGCTGACTTCATAACATTATAAAGGCAAAAAAAAAACACACTGCATATGGAGGCCACTGTATGTGTCTTTAAGGACAAGTTTTGGAAACATTCTTAAACCCGACGTCTTCGGGGTTTACTCCCCATTTAACATGTGAACTTATAGTTGTGAAAATCGTATTCCAATCAGCAAATAATTTACAGTCTAACATTAATAATTTAAGAAGTCTTTCTTTCTAAGCAGTGTCCATTTTAACAGATGAGGAAGGTCAAGAAAGTGTAAATGTAAAATCAGTGAAGCCTACACCCAGGTACTAAACAATAAAAAAACATAAAAAAATAGGCTACACGGAACCAAAAGAAAAAGCCGATATTTTATATCTGAATTACTGAGCAAAACTTTGTCATCGGTGCAGGTAGCCAAATGTCTGTGCTGGGAGACACAGAGAAAGCGTAAATGGCATTAATTAGAGTGAGGCTCCCCGCCTCGCCTTTCTGTGGCGGTGACAGTACACGCTTTCGTATCTCCCTCACCCCGATCCTGCTTCATCGTCATACACGAAAAAGGCAGCACATGCTGTGTAAATCAGTGTGTAAGCCAGTACATGTGTGCATCGTAAAAATGGCACTTTTCTGTGCACAGACACCCGTGGTCATTTAACCAGACTGCGATCCGATTCAATTGCTTTCCCGGGCTATCGTACAGCCTGTTTCATCGACATCACTGTAAATTATAACCAAGCTGTGAAGCAGCACAGTACGCAAAGTGCAGGTGAATACTGAGTAAACATGAGGTTATATCGATATATGCAGAATTACTGTTTACCGTGTAGCTAAAACGGCTAGCTAAATAAAAGTGCATATAAGCAGTGCTTTACCTGTGTCCCAACTACTGCGATTTGCGGTAACTGGATAATATCGGCCCCGACCGTATTAAAAACGTCTTGAAGTTTGTTTATAACAGGGATCAGAGCCTCCATGGTTCCCCGAAACGAGTACCTGTCAAATGCAAGTACACAAGCTAACCGATTGTACTGGTAATTGGAGGCACAAAGTCATACAACGTCCCCTAACCGACCCACCATTTAACCAGACCGGCACAGGAAGCCGCCGCCGCCCGTGTTGCATTCTGGGAATCCGAGTGCGGAAATGAAACTGGGCAGCAGCAGTATCGACTATCGAGTCCTCTTCAGCCCAAACGCAGGGCAGTTTTCCAATTACTGGGGAAGTTCTTCCTGTGAATCTACAACGGTAACAGAACTAACCAGGACATAAAAATAACTTTTTTTAAAAAAAAATCTCTAGGAAGTTATGTAGAGACATTAACCCTTCAAGCCTGTGGGTACCCAAAATTTCTAAAGAGAATTCAGACAAAACCTACAGTTCATCAGAAGCCCCTATCTGGAAAAATTTCTATTTCAGAAAATGGGAGAGGTGCAGAAGGAAAAAACAATGACATTTTATCATCATTTATTTTCAATGTACCATCCAACTCCTGAGCATTAAATGTACATATATTCTATCCATAGGATTAAAATATTGAAAGTGCATGACAAATTTGCTGAACACAGAACCCTCTATCACTGAAGCATCACACAGCACAAGCAACAGGAAAATACCAATGAAACAGGGGGATTATATATATTGCACATAAAGTGGGAGGTCAAAACTTTCAAGAAAATGAGGTAAAGGTCATATATTAAGGCAGGCCATCATCACGATATAGGTTACATTCTACTGTTGGGAGTAACTATTTGGGAGATGAATATAGTCCTTTGGAGTGGGGAGCACAGCAGTTTGTTACATGCAGGTTGGTAACATTCATCTCTCATCCAGTTCACAATAGAAGATTCCTACTACATACTGGTGAAAAACAAATATACATTTTTTTTTTAAATCACTAACATTGCCCTATAAAGCAGACAGAAATCATTCTTCATTCACTACAATCTGAAAGCCATAGAAACCTCAGGAAAAACCAAGTTACAGACGTTTCTGTCCAATGCTGAAACAAAACATCTAAATTCAAATTACACTCCAGGTGCTTATTTCTACAGGTGTCATTTAAACATTTCAAAGCATTTGGCAATTAAGAATCTTACAATTCTGCAAAAAAAACAACAACACACACACACACACTTTGACCATGTTTCCCCACTAAAGGACCATTTCATACCTCAAAAGCATCAGTGATGTGATCAAGCAGTGCACCAGAGGATCAAATTACAATGGATGCTTTATTCTCCATTTCACGCAGCCTATAAAAGTGTTCATGTATTCTAAACAGAATGTCAGATGATAATCACTGAAATGAAACGAGGAGGAATTTATCCTCCAAGAACTTCATCCTCCAATTGTTTCTATATTGTAAGAAAAAGGCTTTGTGCTCAATTTCACATGGTCTACAGTTTAAATGGTTGGTTGAAATAATCAAAGCTTCTTAAATCGTCCTGCATTGTAAGATGCACTGAATCTTAACACCATGATGTGCCACTTATAAGCGCCAAATATGCAAGTTATAGATCTCCTGTAAATACTGGAAAAATCCTCCCAGTAACACCTAGCTGTGGTATCAAAAGTGAGAATGAACAGGAAGACCACTATTTGTAAGGAAAGCAATTTGTCACGTAAAGTAATACCACTTACATTAGTTGTAGACAATATGCTTGAAGTCTTCAAAACTTAAGCATCACTTTTATTGCAGACAAAAAAAAACTATTGCTAATTTATGTACAAACTTTTTGAACTTATTTTTTTTTGCTTTAACACAAAAAACAGCTTGTTTTCAAATGCTTGTTTTACCATGTTACCTCCATAAAATTATGAACCTCACTCAAGTGACAGCAGAGTTGTTAGATTATTTTAGTAAGTGAAAAACTAAACTGTAAAACCCTGACAGAGCAGCTCCCAATGAGTGATGAGGAAAGTCCACTTAGGAGTGGTGGGGGGCACAGTCCCCACCTCAGGATCCAGAGCAGTCGGTGTAGGTGGTCACCATGTTGCCCCTACGTTGTGTCACGGTCCGGCAGTGCTGTCTGGAGCTCTGAAACTTGTCCTCGGTTCCGGCAGTGTGCCTGTGTGTGCTGTCAAAGCCCTCAAAGGTGAACATCTTCTCCATGTCGTCAAACATGTCGTCGAAAACCCCCCCACCAAAGCCCCCCTGGAAGGGCCTCTTGTGGCGGTTGAGAGCTTCCTGGTGAGCCCGGAAATGGCTCTCAAAGTGCTTCTGGTGGTGGGCGTGCCTGTTCTGGTTGAAAATGTCGAAGTCTTTGAAAATGTCATCAAAGTTGAAGTTGAATGGCTGGTGGAAGTTCTGCCTGTCGCTTCTGCTGCCCGTGTCCTCGTTGGCGAAGGAGCCATGTCCAACCTGATCATACTCCCGTCTGCGCTTATCATCTGATAATGTTTCATACGCTGCACAAAACAAAGAACACAATTAGCTATACTCAGACTGGGGGACACATAACATCCATGCAGAATTATTTATGCTACACCCATATGCACCCCCCCCCCAAAAACAACCAACTAGTGCAACGCTGACATGCTGCATTAACCCTAAACACAAACGCTGCATGCCAAAGTGCTCAGTGAAAGCCCACCTTCCGCAATCTCCCTGAACCTGGCTTCAGCATTAGGACTCTTGTTCTTGTCAGGGTGGTACTTCATTGCCAGCTTATGAAAGGCCTTCTTAATCTGCCGCTCACTTGCATCCTTCGGAACACCCAGAATCTCATAGTAGTCCTTTTTGGCCAATATGAATTCGGTTATCATCAGGACGCAGACAGCAAACTTCAGTGCTGAGGGCGCGGTAGCCATGGCGTTGATTAACCTTGGAAGAGAGAGGAAAAAAGAGGAGGATAATTCTCATTATCATTTACTCATTTACACAAAGCACATGATCTTACCCGGGATAAAGAGTAACTTAATAAACGACACGCGGACAGACAGCAGACAGATCAGTATCGCAAACGAACAAAATGTAATTTTGTAGCTACGCCCAAACCTGAAACTTACTAAGTACAGAGACATTAACTAAAAGCCCAACCCGCAAAATACCAAAAACGAAAGTTTCATTATGACACACTTAGCTGCAGTGTAGAAAAACCCAAATACTCCATTTTAAACATCATACTAAATTCTCCAGTTACACTTTAAATTAAACCCTAACAGAGACAGTCCGACTGGAAGTTACGGGCCGTCAGCCCTAAGCGCACCATCGGCCCGCGGGCCGTCCCTCGCCGAGCAAGGGACAGGCGGGCGACAACACACCCGTGGCGCTCCGCAAAATGACACTGAGCAGCCACACTGCGCCGAAAACAGAGCTTCCCTTTACCTAGGCAACCGGAACACGCCATAGACAAACATGTACCGAGATACCTAAGCGGCTAAAAGAGCTGCCGAATCCCCGCCGAAGCAGCGCTGACGATCCAACATCCAGCAGCCGACACGGAGCAGCACTGGTGATCAACATCAAGACGGCAACAGCTCTCTTTAAACGAGTCAGGACTGTATCCATCTGGCAAACATACGGCCACAATGACTGTGACAAGAGCACAGCGGCTTACCCCGCGAAAAGGCGACCGGCGAGGAACCACCGACGTTCGTTCACTTGACGGCTAGCTTCGGTGCGCCGCTGACATCGCTCTAAGTGCCGCGTTCCAGAGGCGCAGCACCACGAATCCTAATCCTATTGGTCCGTTTCCTGACCACGTGACCGCGCAGGGGCTCCGCCTGGTCGGTTATACGGTTGAGTTTCGTTTCTTTTCGCCAAACAGTGTTACCTAACATTACTGGATTATGTAAAATTAATTGTAATATCATGAAAATATGACAGTACCATACATACCTGGAGAGCAAGTCGGGGTAGGCGAAAAGGGAATTTCCCTACGGGGATCAATAAAGCATCATCATTCCATTCTTTTAATAATTTCAGGAAAAAAAAAACATCAGAAAGATATATCTTAAGGTTAACTTACATATGTGATGCCTTGCTATTTAAATGTTAAATTTGAATTAGATTATATCTCTCTCCATGGTACCAATTGCGTTCACTTTCAGCGCCCGGTTATGGCAAAGCAGTAGTTATCATGCCATCTAGTGTTGGAAGTCATGTACGCCTGAGATAGGGAGACGAAAATGCGCATATATTATCGATGCAATGCATACGTATGCATTAAATTACAAATATTCTGTGTATCAGAAGTGGAACACACATGATATATGGGGTTTACGTCCTTATTTGTCAGAAATGTTTACATTGATAAATATAGTATCCAGTCTAGTTTTACTTTTGCATAAAACCACTCCGGTATTCTGTTTGTCTGTTGAGAGGTACATTTCACCCAATCAGCGCAGTGTTTCTTCCGGGGTCACAAGCGACCAGCCAATCACGGGCCGGGGCAAAGATCTTTTTATTTACTATTTTTTTGACAGGAGACGCTAAGACGATCGTGCCTCATTTCACAGTTTTCCGGCTTTAATAAAATAGGGGCTTTATAGCCGTAGGGGTAGTTTGATAGGTTGTGTTCATAAAACCACGCGAAGGCTTATCGCTGTGCGGTTTAATCGCCTGTGTTTTTGGTGATGCGGGGCGGAGGATGAGCTAACGTTACACACCCCGAAGGTTCAGCAGCTGGGCTAGCCACCCACAGCTGGATTAGCGCGGTACCTGGTTAGCGCAGGCTAGTTAGCTAAACTGGGACTCGTCAGCTCGCGTATGGGATGCAACATATTTGGGGCGACGCTCCAGATTCTCCCTTTGCAACCGGGTATGTTAGCTTTATTCCTCCAGCATGGATGTCACCTGCTGTCATTTATTTACTGTGTGTTTGTCAAAGCTAGTTTCGGTCAAGTCTAACATTACTGGCCAGTATTTAATAAAATTGTGGTCTGCGATTAACTAAACAAAGATGTCGCCAGTCTCTGATAGGTAGACATTTATTACTACAGTTTAATAGGTATTACAAAAGCTAACGATAATAGTCGTTGTTTTGGACACAGAGGATCGTTGATTTGGATGTAATATTTGTTGAACCACGTGTTGATGAATCTTGTGTCTTTTTAGCCGATTTTCCCTGGTTGAGGATGCCGATAGGCTGAACTGATGGAATGCCTGTTAAATGGATCATAAACACGTCCGTGTTCAGCCTGAGCAGGGGCAGACACGTGCGGCACCAGCAAGGGCAGCGCCAGGCATTGCAGTGCTCCTCGCATTCCAGAGTGTACGTACCACGGATCCTGAACCATGACGTCCACGGCCTCCGCTGGTGGCGTATGGGAGGCACACAGGGCAGAGTGCACAGGGCATGGGTCTTCAGGGCCTGTCGGCTGCACTACACTCTGGGCCCAGGTGCCCACATCTCCCCCTTGAGCACCTCAGCATCCCTCAGCTGTGCTGACCGCAGCCCAGGCATGTGGCGCCTTAAAAGGACACTGGATTCTGTTTCCAGGGCTATCAGCAGTACCCACACTGACCTGCTCTCCCGGATATCACACCTGAAATCTGGCCCCAGGGAAGGGGGTGGAATCAGATCATCAGCATCAGAAGCTAAAGGCCAGTGCCCTGGAGTGCACACTGTCTCTGAGAAGGCTCAGGGACACCAGGATGGGAAGGACCCAAAGGAAAGCCCCACCCAAGGCACTGGGAGACCTGGGACGGAAGTGGCAGACTCCAGTCGGGGGGTACCTGCTCCCAGCCAGACACCCTGGCTGTTCCACCCTAGCAAGCTCCCTGTAAACTTAGGCGAGACCTATAATTACTTGGCGCACCATGTCAACGAGTACTTTGGGAATGTCACAAAACCGGGGACTATGGAGCCTGGCTGCAAGGACCCGAAAGCGTCCTCTGCCGGCCCGGGCAGATCTGACCAAAGTGGAGTGGACGCCGTTTCCAGCCTGGGGTCTGCTAAAGACGCCGCGCCTCCCCCCGCCTCTCCTCCCCCCGCCGCGCCTCCCCCCGCCTCTCCTCCATCCCCGAAGAAGGGCATTGGCCACTATCTGTCATACCCCGGCCCCAGTGTTCAGGCCTTCGTGGGCAGCTATATCACCCCCCTCGTGCCGAAGTTTCGTCCCGGCTCCAAAGGTGTGGAGGCAGTGAAAGACGGACCGCCCCCAGCGGAGGAGTCGCTCCCGAAGCAGGCAGACTCGGCGGAAGCAAGAGAGCGGAAGGCGGCTGAGGACAGAGCTAAGCGCCTTCTGCTGCAGAGGGAGAAGGTGGGTGGGGCACTGGATGGTGAAGAATTAGCGAGTCTTATTAAAACAAGTTTCTTACATGAGGGCTGTTTGTTCAAGACTCAGGGGTTTGATGTTGTACCCTGGAATGAGGTGCATACCCTTATTATAATGTAGATACACGGCTCCCAAAAAAGGTTAAAACATTAGCAGGGTTGAAGTTACATAGCAGCATCTGTGTGGGTTATAGCTGTTGGACCCTGAGCTGTGAAATGCCATCAGTTAAACCTTAAACACTGTAAACAGGTAAGTAAAATGTGCAATGTAAGGCCTGACAGTTATTTTCAAGAGGGTAATTTGCATACTGAATGTGTATTATCCATCAAGACATGAAAATTAAAATTTAAAAACTGCATGTTGTTTACACCAGTTTACAAGGACGCATATTTCCATCAGAATTTACAGCATTAACCCCTGTTTATTTTATGGAATCTCTTGTCATTGCTTTGAGCCTGCCATTGTGACATGGTGTGCGTGTATTTTTGTCTGCACCTTCAGTGTTTGTCATAATGGCCCAGACGTCACTGACATGCATATGCTGGTCAGTAACCAGTAGCACACTGTCCCCACCAGCAGCGTACCACCAACCCCACATCCTGTGCTTAGCACTGACAGCAATCCAAGGATCCTTTTTCAAAAATAGCTGCGAGTAACCCACACGAGAAGTGTGCCTTTGTGTAGTTTGTGTATTCACTGGCGTGTTTCAGCCGGTCAGTGATCTGTGACCTGCAAACACATGGTAACACTGTATTGTCAGACATGTAGCAATTCAGAGTTGTAACCAATACTGCTTACATTGCTGAGCTGCTTAGAAGAAGCTGTTATCCGAGGCCACTTGCGTGCCTTATTTTAACACGCCTGTCCAGTTGTACTAATAAATACTGTATATATTAAATGAGGGTACTATTGAAAATGCTCATTTGGGGCATGGACTCTCAGGTCTGGTTGATGGTTTACCCTGTTTAGCCTACGTTTTGTGGATGTGGGTGGTTCACTAGTGTCTTTGTATGAGATCCAGCCAGCTGAGATTGTCTTTGTGGGGGTGGGGGGGTTTCAGATCATTGCCAGGGTGAGTGTGGACAACAGGACGAGGGCCCTGGTTCAGGCGCTGCAGAGGGCGTCCGACCTCCGGCTCTGCATCAGCAGGGTGGAGGACCTGAGCTGCCACCTCTTGGAGTTTCCTGAGACTAGGGGTGTGGCAGTCAAGGTGGGTGGAGCTTTGTGTCACGCCCCCTTATGCCTGTTAGTTCCTGAAGCAATAGGACTGACAAAAAGATATTACTGCTTAGAGGACTGTATGTTATGCCATGTCTGGATTGTAGATTGACTTGGATTATGCCAGATCCTCAACATCTAGGCATGAAAGACTGGAGTAAAGATAAAAGGACAGTAGGGGAGGGTGACCATGCTTATATGGGTTTGTACTAGAAGTCTGCACATGCATGTGCTTACTCTGGTAATGGTGTCCCACTCGTCACGCGTATCTGCTGGTCTGCCGCATGTCACCCACTGGCTGCCTGGCCGGCCGTGACGCCACCATCTGCCCCCCCCCCCCCAGGAGCAGCTGGTCCCATGTCTCCTGCGTCTTCGCCAGGCCGGGAATCCAGCTCTGCAGGCTGCCGTGCGGGAGACACTGGCCCTTGTGGGCTACACTGACCCCGTGAAGGGCCGGGGCGTCCGGCTGCTCTCCATCGATGGGGGGGGGACCAGGTGCAGCCGTGTGTCTATGCGTTTCTGTGTCTGTCTGTCTGACTGTCTGTATATATGTACAAGGCCAGACTTGTGCACAGGCTAACCCAGGCCCTTGAGTTATAGGCGGCATTTTATGCAGTAAGTAGGGCCCCCAGCTCTCACCCCCAGCAATAACTTTAACTTTGGGACCCCCACCTCCTGGCCCCACAATGACTTTATACTTGGGCCCCCACCCCCCTAAATTAGACCTTTTGTATGTGGTACTTTCTTCTTGTTGCTGTGTAAATCACTGTTGTTGTGCGGTACATCACTGCAGATTGGAGCTGCTGCTCATCTGTGTGTGTGTGTGTGTGTGTGTGTGTGTCTGTGTCTGTGTGTGTGTGTGTGTGTGTGTGTCTGTGTGTGTGTGTGTGTGTGTGTCTCAGGGGAGTGGTGGCCCTTCGGACCTTGCGCAAACTGGAGGAGCTGACTGGGAAGCCCACTTACCAGCTCTTTGACTACATCTGTGGAGTGAGTACAGGTAGGCAGCTCTAGCTCGCTCCCCCGTGCGGGGGCTGGGCTGTTGAGCTCTCCCGCACCCCCCACTCCACACCACCCCCCTTCTGACCGCCCCGGCAGCCCCTAACATACAGTTTGGTTTCTGTTTATTTCTGATTTGTGTTTGCAGTGGCCCCTGAATGCGTCCCTAGCAACTGCCTCTCACTGTCGCATTTGTATGCCAGTGTGAGGTACTGCAGACAGGTTTCCAAATGCCCAGGCGCAGCAGCTGTTTATGGAGTCAAAGCCCTGCACTAAGTCACTTTTTAAACTGTTGTTGTGGCAGTTATAATTTGCAATATAACACCATCTGCCTCAAGCACTGCCTTACAGTTAAGGAGGTGTAATCTGCACAGTGGGTGCCTGTGGTGGGCAGAGCTGGGGTAGCCGCCAGTCCCCCACTGGCCTCCCATATGCCCGCTTGTTATGGTGATGCTCTGCGGACATCCTCTGCTGCCATCTAGTGGCCAAATACCTGAAAGCTCTGTTGTGAATGAGCCTGAGTATGCGCTGCCCCCTCTGCCCTGCAGGGGCTATCCTGGCCTTCATGCTGGGCGTGTACCAGATGTCCCTGGATGAGTGTGAGGAGCTGTACCGCAGGCTGGGCTCTGAGGTGTTCAAGCAGAACGTCATCGTGGGCACGGTGAAGATGGGCTGGAGCCACGCTTTCTACGACAGCCAGATCTGGGAGACCATCCTCAAGTGAGCCTCGGGCTACGTGGTCCAGTAGCAGCTGGGGAAGGGGGAAGGCCAAGAGGATGGCGGATGCATCCAGGGGGAACCCACCGTTATACCCAAGTACTTGTGCGCGTGGGGTTATATCTATGAATATGCTAGTATGAACGGACTGAAAAGGGCTTCGTAATCTAATTTAGCTCGTTTAAGGCTAATCATCTATCTAAATCTCTGAGGTCAGGTAGAGTTTAGCAGGTTGGGTATCTAGACTGCAGATGACATCAGTGCCACTTTGATTGGCATGAACTGTGCCGAATGGCAGGTTTTGTTCTCTAACAGTTGATGTTTCTCATCAGTTGTTCTGTGGACGGGCAGCATTTAGCTCGACTTAAATTGTGGCTGCTTGTCCATGGTGATAGAATACGGCGCCTTTTGTTTGACAGGGAGCAGATGGGGTCGGACCTTATGGTGGAAACATCCAGAAACCCTGAGTGTCCCAAGGTGAGATTCACAGCTGGGATGTCCAGGGCTGATAAATCCACCTTTTAGAAAAGTTTGTTTACCACCTAGTACGCTACCTACTCTCCCTGTGCTCAGAGGAAGTGTGTGGCCCAATAGCAGCTCTGGGGTACTGCAGGCTTGTTCTGATTGGCTGAAATATGACAAGCTGAAGAATGCTGCATTGTTACATTTTAATTTGTTGGTTAGGTGGTACATGAGAAATGAACTGGAGGAACCTGGATATGCTGGAGATTGATTACATGCTACAGCAGTGCAGAGATTTGTAGAATGAGCAGATGAATCTTTGCTTGAACTTTGAGCATCCGTCTTGTTCTCAAACTCCTTTTATATTCTTTACAGCACCTTTTCTTGTTCTCACGTTACTTTTCTTTTAATATCCGCCAGTCGCAGCATTGTCCTTCACTTGAAGAGATCGTAATGCTATTATTAGAGCACTACTCACATGTATTGCAGGGGAACAATTTGTCGTCAATCTGATTAGGCTGACGTGGTGTGCTTGTGCACTTTGTCCACAAGGTGGCTGCAGTGAGCACAATTGTGAACAGGGGAACGCCATTGAAGGCATACGTCTTCCGGAACTACAACCTGCCCCCCGGTGTGCGCTCCCACTACCTGGGAGGCTGTCAGCACAAGCTGTGGCAGGCCATCAGGGCCTCGTCTGCTGCCCCGGGCTACTTCCAGGAGTTCGTGCTGGGGGACGACCTTCACCAGGTACTTTGTGACCCTTTGGGAATATTGAAAAGTGTGTGCGTTTGGGTTGTCATGGAGCCATCCGCACCATGGATGCCTGTGATTTCCTCATGGTCCTCCAGTGTAGTAAGGGGTCTGTAGTACCTGTTCGTCAGCCCCATTCCTGGTAGGGATTTCAGCCTGTTTCCTTGCTCATTAGTTTATGAGAGATCTGTGCTTTTAGGAAACCAAATCTTTAGCAAAAGAATGACTGTGAGAATCGATGTAGGGATTACACTGTATAAGGGGATCACACTGTATAAGGGAGGCACTGTATAAGGGGATCACACTGTATAAGGGGATCACACTGTATAAGGGGATTCCACTGTATAAGGGGATCACGCTGTATAGGGGAGGCACTGTATAAGGGGATCACACTGTATAAGGGGATCACGCTGTATAAGGGAGGCGCTGCAAGCAAATGTGTTTCAGAAGTCTCTGGACTTTTTACTCTGCTCTCATTATCAAAAAATAAGTGATGATGTAATATTCAACCCACCGCGAACTGGATCACCTCCTTCTTAATGCTGCCCCCTGTCTTTTGCGTCTGCTGCAGTGCTATGAAACTTGAGGTTTTTCTTTCAGGGAAAAGCATTAGGCAGGTTGCTGAAGGGAGTGTTTCATACCAAATTAGAGTAAGTTATTTTGTTTCATCGGTCCTGAGCACCTCTTGTGATTTTGCTGGTAGAGATGTGAAATTTATCATGTCTGCAGTGGTAGTGATGTCCAGGCCCCAGTTCTATTAATTAAAAAACTCTGGAATCGCACCTGCTTTCATTATGGTCCCACACCTGCTTTGCAGGACTCTAGGTCTTGTCCAGGAAGCTTGGGTTAGCCAGCCTCCTACATTCTCTCTCGATGTCCTCTCCATCCTCTCCGGCTTCACAGCGGCCAGTCTCCTACATTCTCTCTCGATGTCCTCTCCATACTCTCCGGGTTCACAGCGGCCAGTCTCCTACATTCTCTCTCGATGTCCTCTCCATACTCTCCGGGTTCACAGCGGCCAGTCTCCTACATTCTCTCTCGATGTCCTCTCCGTCCTCTCCGGCTTCACAGTGGCCTGTCTCAGCATGGGGGACATCACGAAAGCCCCTTAATGTATGTGTCACACTTCTTGTTAATCCAGAGCTTGATCTCGGGGGTATTTCACAGGCACCCATGAGCTACCACTCCTGGATCCCTCGCTGCCCCTGTCATTTCACTTGTATAAGAAGTGTTTTCGGTGGCTAATATTCTACCCCATGTCGATTCCTGCCACCCACCGCACTAAATATTACGGGTGACTTTTTTCTTTAATAATATTTACCCATCATGCAATTGCTGAAAGAGATTTTGTATCATAGTCCCGGTTAATGAGCACTGTCTGATGTTCTCCCCCTGCTGGGCTATTTGCATATTGGGTTCATGTCCCATTCTCAGCTTTCCGGTTGTCTGCCGGCCCTGGTCCTCCGCAGGGAGGGGAGGTAGAGCCCCTCCCCAGGCGTGTCTGTGGCACACTCACATTCTGTATGCCCTCATACCTCTGAGGGATTATCCTTGACCCCGATTATGCTCACAGCGGCAAAGCACTGCCCCGTGATGCTGTACCTGTGTTCAACTGACTTTTCCCCGCGTTGCTTTCAGTGAGCTGTACAGCAGCAACAAGCTGTATGACTCTCTGAGCTGCTGTGCTGTCATCTCCGTAGCTTCTCCTTGTCTGGGAAGCACGACTGAACTGATGTTTCATTTGTAATTTGCGATGCCATGTTCACCATGAGCCAGCAGTATGGTGAGTGGTATGAATCTGCGCGGTTTCCTCCTTTGTTTTCATAACTTGTGCTGCCAAACAGATGGTTGACTGTGGGAAATTTGAGATTCTGACAAAGTAGTACCACAAGGAAAATGTGCTCATCATCACAATACAACCTCTGTAATGTTAAGAGACTGAATATTCCACCAAGAAATGTCAGCAAAACCAGTTTGTCTCAGTGTAATTGGTGCAGCCCATAAATAAACGTTGAATCCTCGTTCATGGAGTTAAGGTTTTGATGATGCTGTCACGTTACCAAATCCTACAGCCCTTCCCCAGTGTGATTGTGAAGCATGACCCACCCCCTTAATGAATAATCACCTTCCCCATACTGCCCCCAGGACCTTATCACTGGTCTGGCCATACCAGTAAGGCTTCATCAACCTTAATTCCTGCTTCAAAATGTCACCTGATAAAGTGAACTTCAGCGCCCTCTGACCTTATGGTCACGAGTCAACAGTCACGTTATATAACATGAATACCATTTGTTCAGGTACGCATTGCTGCCAGAATGGCAGGAACTGAACTGGCTTCTGTATTCTGAGGTTCTAATTCATTTTTCCATGTTTTATGTTTTTTTTTGTTGCAGGAATTCATTTAAAAACACATCTTCCATAAATAAAGACTCTAAATCCCTGAATGACTACAAATACACTTACAATGTGAGCAATACTGAGTTTAGGTAGTAACTCTATAGCAGAAGGCTTCTATTTAACAAACTTCTCAGGACTTCCCTCTTCACATAGACTGTATCTGTGCTGCCTGGGAAGGCGGAGTAAACTATACTGAGGGAGACATTCATGATGTAAAGGTCCAGCACAAGCCCCAGGACTATGTGGACGCCTTGGGACACTAAGGGGTGCAGTGAGGCGTCAGCCGTCAGGTTCCCTCTGCTGTTCTGCCTTGGTTCTTAGGGGTGTGATCCCATCTCTTCTAGCATTGACGTTCTGCGTCTTCACCATTACTCCTACTGTCTGACAGTTTATGCAGTCAGACATGTCTGCTCCGCCACTGCATGGTTTAGGTGACGGGCCTAAATGACATGGACACTGGGCATCTGTTGTCTTCTGTGCGGAGTTAATTCTTGTCATCTTTAAGTGGAAGAACAAATGAAATGGTTTTTCTTTCAGTTGTTTCACCTGTGCCCATGTCTTTATGAAGGCTGTTGTACCGGGCATGTCAATGTCAGAATCCCATCGCAGGTGTCACTTTCATGAACCACTAGTTTGGGAAAATGCAGCACAGGTTCATCATCAGAAGTGTTCCTGCCATCTTCCCCATTCAGATGTTTGCTGAGGACCACAGCTCTCCTGCAGGGTCACGGCTTGGTTCCTAATCGTGTGGTGGCCCTACGACCATAGTTTACATTCTGATGGGGGCAGCATTGACGTTAACAAAGACACTCATTTAAGTAACGAATAACAGTCACAAATACTGAACTTTGAACATTAATTTGAACACTTGATATTACTGCAGTCCATTTCACTGCGGAGTTATAATGTATTTATTCATTTTGCTCATGCCTATGTTTCTCGTATTTACCCCTAATGCAAAAATGCATTCATATACATATCAGTGGCAACAGCTGAATATAAATTGGGTTAAACATTTTACTGAAACACAGCATTTCTGTTTTGATTTCCGAACCCACAGCTGTCCATTTCTTTCTCTGGCCCCTGCTTCTTGTGTAACTTGACATAATGTTGATCCTAACATCACAGGCCACCCGAGGCTGGTGACAGTAGCCTGGCCTTTTGATGGATGTATTTCATCTGGAGCTGCAAATCCACCCTTCTCTCACCCCTATGTGGAAGGGTCACCTTTGACCCCGTCACCTTGGGTCACGCTTCTTGCGGCCTGTATTCCTCGAACTGTGGCCACATGCAGGGTATTGTTTGGTGTCAAAGCGTGGCCCAAATATGTCCCAGCTTGAAATCATCCTTGAGAAGGGGGTTAACATCCAAATATTCACCCCCAAAGTGAAATAAAAAAATAATAAACTATGGCAAAGCGCGGTGGCTTGCGGCCAGCAGGGAGATTGCCCACACTCCGCTGTTAGATGGCTGCCCAAACATCTTTAAGTCGGAGCCCTTCTAGTGTGTGAATGGCTTGTTTGTTTCAAGCTCTGTCACGTCTGTATGTCCTGAATGGAGCTTTAAGATTAAAATTTCAGTTTTTTTTTGTTCTTTTCATAAGTGTTAAAGGCACAAGTCTGACTGTAGAGCGCCTGAATGGTTTCCCATAGTGGTAAACGGCATTTTCAGCCGCACGCTGTCCGTTCTCACTGCGTGCTTTCTTTAGGGTTGTGTGTGTCCTCGCCGCTGAAAAGGACTCTCTTATTTCTGTTGCTGTGTTCAGTGCAGCACGCTGAAGGCAGTAATGCTCACATGTGACAGGCGCTCTTGCCATGTGCTGAAACAGAGCATTAGCTTGAGTTTTAGCCCTGAACTAGCAAAGTCGGGAGACCACAGTCATGCTAATGGGTATTAAATGGCAGAACTGATGTCCATGTGGGTGAAGCACAGAGCCCAGGGATGTTAAAACTGCTGATCTCTGCTGTTCACTGATCATCGTCTAACCACATTTGGTCTTCCCGCGTGACCTTTTGGAGAGGCTACATCTCTGTTTCTGGGTCACCAATCCCTCTCTAGGCTGCAGAGAGCATCACCGAGACACTGAGAACCGTACTGGCACTTAGCTCTGAGCACCACGTCTTTGGCCTTTGAGTTCTGCAGCGGTACATCGTATGATTCTCTGTGCAGAGGGCCTCAACTGTGTTATACGTTACCAAATATATGTCCATATTTTATTGGTGTGATTCACTGTATCAGTCCAGATGAACACTTTATAGTGGCTGTCAGTCGAGGCACTAAATGAATAAATAAATCATTATTTATTTATGTATTTTTGAGAACAATAAACTGATTGTTTGTGTCACTTTATTTTTTTGGCCTTTTTTTGCTGAAGTTGGTTGCTCTTGGTTGCTCTGTAATCACGCCGGGGTTCGTGCAGCATACTGTCATGATGTTTCTGAGCCACTTGATTGATTGTCCTGGTCTTTGTAATTTGCTGTGTCAAAGTCAGTGTTGGTTTTGCAGTTATTTTTCCCATTGCCATATATATATATATATACACACACACACACTGTATACTGTAGGTTTTTTAGAACCATAAGGCAGTGAAGCAGTTTCCCATGCTAACTTATGGGTTGTTGATGCTGCTGTGACTGACTGGCCCTTCTGCACTAATATTGTAGCACCATAAAACTGCAGTGCCACACCTTCATATCTGCATGAAAAACGCCAGTGCTACACCTTCATATCTGCACCAAAAACTGCAGTGCTACACCTTCATATCTGCACCAAAAACAGCAGTGCCACACCTTCATATCTGCACCAAAAACTGCAGTGCTACACCTTCATATCTGCACCAAAAACTGCAGTGCCACACCTTCATATCTGCA